GGTATCACATGGTCAACCCGCGCGACTATAGCTTGTTATAAATACGTTATGGGTTAAAATCGTAGCTTCTTCAGTTAACAAGTGAAGAACAAGATCTATAATTTAAAGGTGTTTTGGTGACAGACTTTAATATATTTTTAACTAAATCTTAGCATTTTTTATGAGGAATTATGGATTATTTTTTGAAGGACTACAACATATCTTATCAAGGATTTTTGGAATATTTTAGAAGTTATATTGCAGTATATCTTAAGACTCGTTTTTTAGAATTTTATTGCGAAATTTTTTGACAGCAGGAGCTATAATTGTATGCATTATTAGAGACTTGAGTAATCTTTCCTGATTAAGGATTAAAATATTTATTATAAGAGATTTTTAGAGATTTTTTGTTTGTGTTTTTTTTTTTTTTTTGTAAATTTCAAAAAAAAAAATAGATGTAAAAAATATTAAATATAAAAAAGGCCTTCTTTGAAATTTCAAGAGCAATAATTGAAAGTATTTTTAGGAAAATTTGAGAGGGGCTACAATTTTTAGGAATATTTTGTAAAATATTATTTTAGATTTTTTAACATAATTTTCGTAGATTTTTAAGAATACTAGCAAAACGACGACATGAGCTGCGATTGGAATTTTTTTTATAGATTTTAAAGTACTGTGTTTTGAAGAAGCCATCTAAGCGGAAAGTTGAAGAACAATGAAGAAAATAATTACTTTTTTTTATGGATATATTTCAGGGCATTTCATAAAGGAACTATAAGAGATAAAATCGTGGATTCGTCGGGATAAATTTTGTAGCATTTTAATGAGCAAATGGGATATAATTGTTGTTGTTTTTTTTTTAATATTTTGAGAGAGATAAAATCGTGGAATTTTTAAGGGATAACATTTGCAGAATTTTATGGACCATAGGGGTATGTTTTTATTTATTTTTTTTAGACAAAATCATGGAATTTTCGGATATTGTTTGCAGATTCTTAAAACCAGTAAAAGATATGATTCCGGATTTTTTACAGAATAGAATAAATCTAATATAGAAAATATATTTTTGAGCCTATTTTCTAGGATCTACGTTTACAAAACCTTAAACGATAACTTTCGTGTATTTTTTACGTTTTTTTTCTGTAGAACCATAAAATATATAATACTAAATTTTAAGAATATATTTTTAAATTATAATGAATAGTAATTTTTTTTATCCACTTCTTTTTCACAAATGCCTGTGCCAACTTTCTTTTCCGGAAATAAAATAGCAAAAAATATATATTCCCCTTTTTATAATTCCCCCCTTTTACAATGTTTTGCATTGTGTACCTTGGCATAGCTCATTAACAGTTTTGTTTCTGATTACCTTTTTTCCTTCAACATTTTGTTCTTCTCTTTTATTTTTCAATTGCAAATGGAATTTATTGGACATTTTGCCTGTGTGCGGATGTGTGATGCTGATGCGAATTGGATGGAATGGATTGTACGACAATGTCCATAGAATTACCGGAGGAGCAGGCAAGCGTAACCGGTATTCAACCACGTTATCGTATTGGTGATTTGGTTGACGGCAATTGCTCAATTAAATACTCTAAACCAGCTGCTAATTTGACATGGACTATTAATGGTATCGTGGTAAGTATGGCTAAGAATAAAAACTGCAAAATAGAGACACATATACATATACCCCCGCCCCACACACACACTGTAACAGTATTTGCAGGGCAAAGGCATCGTCATTTCGCAAAGCATGTAACTTGCTGGAGAAAAAAAGGATGGGGTTAATCATTGAATTGAATGAAGCGTTTATTTAATGGCCAGTTATGAAAGTAGTTTTTTTGTTTTTAATAAAAACACCCGAAGCGTGTGGCATAAAAAAGGAGGTTAATTAAAAACCACCGATTCAATTAAGAGGAGAATTTTTTTCTTTGGGTTTTTTTCTTTTTTTATAAATATATGTTTTATATATTGAGTTAACAAAATTGAATAAATGAATATTTCCACATAAATTGGTAAATATTTAACAAGTTGAAATAATGAAATGTTGCGAACTTAAATGATGTATTCAGATTAATTGGAAAATGTTTATAATTTTTTACGGTAGAGGATGGAATCAAAGGATGCAAATGTTTTTGAAGATGAGCTATAATTGCGGAGCTATAATTGTTAAAAAGTATAAGTCGGTTTTGCCAGCAGATGTATATCCTCAGTCAATGCTCGATTATTTAAATATATTTTTACTGCTCTTATGATGGCGTAGGTTCGGAAGGAATGGGCCCATATTGTCCATGGCGTATCGGACCTAAATAAATATAATAAAAATATTGCGGCGTGCCAGGTCCGGTCTATATTGGTTACTTGCCTCACTTTATGTGATATATGTGATAATTTTTAGAAAATATTAAAATGTGCATGAGATACCAGGTATAGCGGACCAAAGAATTCTATTTTGATAATTTATGCAAACAAATAAAAATATTGGTACGGGCAAAATAACAAGAAAATCTAACATTTGTATCCACTTTTATGCGAAATCATAAATTCCCTTTCATCTCTGGTTGAGAGAAATATTTAGACTGATATGACAGATAAAATTAATGAAAATTGCGACCCTTTGTGGGTGAGGTATCCTTCTGGTCAGATATATATCATCTTTAAAAGTTATGTATCATCTAGAACCCTATATGCGGGAGGTACCAGAAGAAGTTGTCCGATCTCTACTATCTTTACAACAGATCTTGTGTTGATGGAAATATTGAGATGTACCAAGTCTGAATGGAATCGGATGTTAATTCCGAGTTTTATGAGCTTCATTGATATTAAAAATGTTGACCCTTTGTGGAAGAGGTACCAGAAGGAATGGGCCAATCTATGCCATATTTATAACAAATCTTGTGTTGATAGGAATATTGACATGTACCAAGTCTGAATGGAATCGGATGTTAGTGTCGCGTTTTATGAGCTTCACTGATATTCAAAATGTTGACCCATTGTGGGGGAAGAGTGGGCTGTCTTCACACCAGACCGTGGATTAGGAAAAATATTTTAATTTGAAGGTAATTGGAATCTTACATAATCTTTTATAATATTTATAAATATTCAAAATTTTGCCCCTTTAGTGCAGTAGACCGATATTGTCAATTTTATTACCTGATCTAGAATTGATGGAAATATTTGGATTTGCAAAGTTGGAGAAAAATTGGATCATCCTTTTTTTCTACGCAGTAAAATATTTTTTGATTTTTGCTATGTTGTTTTTTCAAGTTTTGTATTTGAATATTGTATTGGCTTATGAAAAAATTGCCTATGCAGGTCCACGTCTTCGTATAGACCACAATATAACGGCTTTATACGTTATTTTTATGATTTCAACAGAATTGTTACGGATTTTAGTTTTTTTAATTTCCAAATGTTGGAGGATATTTAAAATTCGACCCGGCAGTACTTACAGGGTATTATGTCTTTGTGCATTTGTTTGTAACATGGAGAAGGAAACGAGATAGACCCATAGTTACTTTTGAGAACCTTCATAGAATCACTTTCTGAGTCGATTTATGCATGTCAGTCCGTCTGTCCGTCCGTCCGTCCGTCTGTCCATGTATTCTTGTGAACAAAATGCAGGTCGCATTTATTATCCGATTGAGATGAAATTTTCCAAACAATATTTTTTTGGCCCAAGGACGAACCCTATTGAAATTGATAAGAATCGGATCAAATTTAGATATAGCTCCCATATATATCTTCATCTGATTTCGGGTTAAATGTGCACCAAATGTCCACTATCAGTCCAAATTACCTGAATTTCGGCACACCCAACCGAGTTCGGCCTAGAAGCAAGTATATCAAATTGGAGAAAATCGGTTCAGATTTGGATATAGCTCCCATATATATCTTTATCCGATTTCGGGTTAATTGACCACCAAATGGCCAATATCAGCCCAAATGGCCCGAATTTTGGCACATGTGGCCGAGATTAGCCTTAAAGCAAATACAACAAATTTGGAGAAAATCGGTTCAGAAACAGCTATAGCTCCCATATATATGTTTTATCCGATTTGGTGTTTAAGCCTCTCACATTCGTAATATGCACTCCACAAGAATGATATTTGGTACCAGATATAAGATACAGCCCAGAAATAGCTGTTTGTAATTTTATCGAAATCGGTTCAGATTTGGATATAGCTCCCATATATATGTTTCATCCGATTTCGGGTTAATTGTGCACCAAATGGCCGATATAAGTCCAAATGGACTGAATTTTAGTACATCGGACCAAATTCAGCCTAGAATCAAGTACATCAAATTTAGTGAAAATCGGTTCAGATATAGATATAGCAACCATATATATGTTTCATCCGATTTCAGATTAATTGTGCACTAAATGGTCAATATCAGCCCAAATCACCTGAATTTTCGTACATAAGACCGAATTCAGTCTAGAAGCTAATACGTCAAATTTGGAGAAAACCGGTTCAGAGATAGCTATAGTTCGTAAAATGCACGATAGAATTAGATAGATTTTGATTTTGTACCAAATATCTCATAGAGCTCTGAAATGCCCTGTATAAACCTTTTTACGAGAGCTCTACTAAATATGCATAGTGGTGTAGGGTATCATATAGTCGGCCCCGCCCGACTTTTGAGCTTTCCTTACTGGTTACTTATTTAAAATACGGTCTTTTTTGGGAAAGGTACCGGAAGGAGTGGTCCGATTTTATCTCCGAACTTGATCTATATTTGGCAATAATATTACGATGCACCAAGTTTGGGCCAAATCGGCTACTCCCTTTGATATTTGATCCAAAGATACCTAAGTTCCAAAACCGTTATTTCGATGACTCAGGTTTTGGCCATATCAAATGATATATACCCTCTCTAACCATATGGCTGAGGGTATAATGAACCATATGCAACCATTTCTGTCTCTTCCTAAACTCCAACAACAAGACCTTTTGTTTTTACTGAGACCTACCTTTGGTATTCAGTGGGTTTTTTTGTCGTGTTCCATTAAAAGTTCTAAAATACGATTTCCTACTCTTATCCACGTATATCCAAAACAATCTACATCTCTCCCCATTAGACAACAACAGTCATCCAACATTGTGACAACAGTTATAGTACGCCACCAAAATGACCATCAAAATCTCCGGATACCAATCCGTTGGACTATTGTGTCTGGAGTACTTTTGGAAAGCAAGGTTGCAACTAAAAAATGGGCCAACATACCGCAAAGCAACATTCGGGCAGCGTGTGACGATTTTATTGGCCGTTTGAAGGCCATAAGTCGTGCCAAAAGTGACCATTTCGAACTAATCTAAACTTATTCTTAGTGTTGATGCTATTTCCGACATTTTTTGCTTTCATTCATAAAATTTAAAAACAAAGATGTAGAAATAATTGTGTTTGACTTGGTTGCAAATTGCTTTTTGATCTTCCGAAATTTTTGTCGTTTTTCAATAGATATTCAAGAAAGAGATCCATTGACCCAACAAAACAAGATGAACTACACTTATTCTCCTTATTCAAAATCCTTCCCAGCTCTTAGTTTTCTCGGTGAATACTTTTCTAAATAGAAGCATAATGGGTCCTCCTGTAGACCAATTATTTGTGTAAGACCAATTATGTCTAAATTTAAACCATTTTCAATTTTTACACTTTACACATTTACAAAAATAAATTTTAGTCACAGAAACAATATCCTCCCATCATTCAAAACGAATATCCCCTTGAAAAAATCCTTGCAACCAAATCCTTAAATATAAATTTATAAGAGATTTATTTTCTGAGTCATCATAAATTCTTATTCCGTTCTTGTATTTACATCTTGTGTCATTATTAATAGTTTTTTTTGCCATACACAACAGCAAGTCATCCGCAAAGAACAAACGCACACATACACACACACAAAACAAAAGAAAAAAGAGAGAGAAAAAACAACTATGAATATAAGTCATAAAATATGAAATCAATTTATAAATATTTATTATCATTCGCATGGCCAATGGGACGCAAAGCTTAGGATGAGTCTTATACAAAATGACAACAACAACAAAAACAAATATAATATTGAATATTATGTATGTGTCACCACTACACACACATACACACAAAGGGCCATGGTTAATATTTACCACTACTGACCAGTGTAAACAGTAACAAAGCTAACAACAAAAGAATATCAACCAACTAAGATGTTGAAGAAGACGAGGATGACAAAAAACAAAAACCTACAAACGTTGAAATCTCATTGAAGCGGAAATATTCATGGAACGTAACAAAAGATCGCATTATGACGATGACGAAGAAGATTTCAGCTGAAGTATAAATAACAAATATTTAATACTTGTATTTAAATGACGACATCGTTTCTTTATGAGCCGTACAATTTGAAGTTTGTTTTTGTCTTCAGATATTTGTGTAGAGTAGTTGAAAGGTGCTTATATTTGATAGACATTACTCGTCACTTTGAAGATAGACTGAAAGCAATACAAAGAAATTACCTAAATGTCAGAGGACTTGGAGAAGATTTTAAAGAAAAGGTGAAAGAGAATCCCTTTATGGAATTTAAGGAAATCTAGACTTGAATTTAATAGACTAAGACTTAGAAAATGATTTTCGCGTTCATATTCTCCCCG